TTCGTGTTATCCAGCCGACGTAGCCCCTACATTTCTTAACCAGTCATTTCTTGTACAGTGGTTGCACTGTAGGTAGTGAGGGCCCAAAGAGTTCTTACAAATGCCCACCGTCACCGACCACCACCAACGCCTAGTCGTATTGCCACTACATGGTATTTTCCCTAGACCCCAAGATACTATACTATAATCTTTATTATACTGGACCCCCCCCCCAAGAAGGTACCACTAACTTTGGGACATCTGCACATTGGAACCAGGACAAGCTAGGCACTGCAGACGCGCACGCCATTGAAGAAGTGGAGAAAGCGTTTGGCCACCTGGTCGCCAACATAAAGAGTGAGCGTGCACATTTCCTAGTTAGTGGTCGGTAGATGTTGGTAGGGAACGAAGGAATAGCATATTGCGGGTAGTGTAACGGATTACGAAAGCTTGGCTACGGAATGCATGTCCAGTTTAGTATATCTTGATGTGCTGCCAACAGAGGCAACATTTTCACACAGCATGCCAGTAGGCTGCTTAGTTGTAGTTAATCTTCATTGAGAGTGGAGAATGGAGCCGCATAGTGTAACCCATATGTACTCCCGACACTACTCCGTATGCCCCAGTTTCCCATTCTCGACTGACCCTAGACCCCGAGCCCAAAAAATTGTCCATATATAGCACTTGGCATTTTTGTCCCTTCCACTCCCCCGGCCAACCAATGAATAGTAATAGTAGTAAGAAACCCCAGACCCTCAAGCGTAAGCAAGAGTAAGTAACAATCAGAAACCAAGAACTTCAAATAATCCTAAATCCAAAACCCTCATTCCTTCAGGATCCTCATGTGATAGGTTTCCCAAAATAGGGGGACCCCAATATAGACCCTAATGCCCCAATATATAATAATCCTTATTATAGGGACCCCCAAGAAGGGAACCCTAATCCCTAAACTCATGGCATAGGCGGATCCTGGGTGCCAGCACCTCCGGGCCTTCAAATCTCACAGCACACAGCCAAGGCCTCTCAAATCTCAAAGCAGATATCCCTCCCAGCTCTTGGCTCTAGAAATGTTTAAAGACAGCCTAACATCAAAATGAAGAGGCGCTGTTGGCCAAGATGGACCTAACTGAGTTTAGGTTCTGAACCCTAAAAGGAGTAGGTTTGGGTGGTTGGGCCGCCTCAGACGGCGTGGGG